GAAGTGGGTAGTAACTACAGTCAACTCTTATGTGTGTGAATTTATCAAACTCACAGACTAATTGTGCCATGCATGTGGTGTTACTGGAAATGGTTCTTGGTTCTGATGGATTTCTTAGCTTAAACACAACACTGCATGAATATGGCTGTATGATTTCTAGTATTATCTGTATCAAGAATGCCAAGACACCCAAGGCTTTGTGTGGCTTTTGGCAGAATGAATTAGATTGCCAGTATATTGTTCATCATGCAACACCTCCCAGGCATTCCTTGATTTCTGGGGATCAATCCCTTTCTTTTCTACCAGGCGGGAGTTTGACCAAGATGACATTGTTCTGAATTACCGGGACCTTGATGGTGATCTGATCCGGTTGCTCTCTGATCAAGATGTTGAACTCATGGTGTCTCAGAGCAGAAGAAGGCCGCCTGAGAAGCATTTCTTCCCTTGGAAGTTGCACATCACTCACAAAGATGACTTGGGTGTCTATAACACTAGTCCAGGAACAGGTGCTACTCAAACAGTAAGAGCAACATAAGTGCTATGTAGAGATGTTCTAGTAGGTAGCTATACAGTCCTTCCTTAATCCGTCTCTGCAGACAGTTTCCTTTAACAAGCCTTTGAAGTGAGCTTGAAAAAAGTAATTTTTAGTAATACATTACCTTTCAATGTAAAATCTGTACTTAGTTAGCTTCTTCAGCTTTTTCGCACTCCTCTGTAATAGAGATATCTACATAGAGACCAGAGAAAGTGAGGAACAGAGAAATAAAATCACTGGCCATATTCACAAAGCAAGTTAGTGGTAGCCTGTAGTAGAGGTTTAGTGTCCTGAGCCCCAAGACCTGCTCTAATCTCTGTTCTCACTTCCAGAGCTAATTATTTGTCCAGAATATCTTCCTAAGCTTTTTTTCTGGACTGCCATAATTTTCTCTTCACTTGCTGATATGAAGGTTTGTGTGCCAGTGCTTCTGAATGTGTAATTATTTCTGTCATGTGGGAGTCTGACTGGGCATTCAGAGTTTGTTCTGGAAGCATCAAGAAAACTTTTTCATATTTCAGTGAAGAAATTGCAGCTCACCTTTGCTTTCTTCTTTCCACTGACCAATATTTTGAATTCTGTGAATCAAACCTAGTACACCTGTGGTGTTCCTTGTAGACCTTTTTGTAATTGTACAGACTACTTATTTCCACATTCTGGGAAAATTTGTGTGATGCCTATTCAAATAGCAATTTCTTCTCTGTCTGTCTTCTGCTTTCTGACACCTCATTGCAAAGTAGAACTAACAGCAAATTACTGTATCAGATTCTTCAACAAATAAAGTTACATATGAGTTTATTTTATCAGTTTTTATTCAAAACGTTTTTTTGGGGAATGAAATCATTATGTTCCTCTTTTTTTGTTGAAAGCAAGATAATTTTGAGAAGAGTTTGAACATTACATATTCAGCTTTCCTTAAGGAGGAGTTCATTATTGAAAAAAAAATCTTGCAATAATTTCTTTAATGATCATACAATTAAAATATTTTCTTCTTGAAAAAATTTACTGCTGCTTGTAAGAATTACAAGTTATGTATGTTTTATATAAATTGTTTGATACCTAAAATACTGTATTTTAAAAACACCATGCAGTCATGGTGTTAAAAAGATACCACCAAGCATAAATATAATAAAAAATAAAAGTGAAAAATAAGAAGTTAAAAGAGTTTTCAAACACCATGCTTTGGATTCAACTGTTAGTTTCTGTGGCATTAAGCTACAATTTCTCATTTAAAAAAATCTTTGTCAATCAATCTGCTGCTAAAATTTGTACAGACAAAAGGGAAAACTAACAAGTATCTGAAGGTGCTAAGAAAGAGTTAACTAACGATGCATGAATAGCTAACCTGCCCCTCCCAAAACTGGCAAAATAATGTTTTCTCTTTTTCTTAGATGTTACCTGTAATGCTATCAGGTAACAAGATCTTCAACAACAACAAAAGTATTTAAGGTGACTTACCCTTTAAACTTGTTTTTTTTTTCTTTCTGGTGTATATACATAAACTTATTTTTATATAGAAACTTTAATATTCATTATCTGTAGCTGTGCATTTATGCATATAAGTGTATTGGAAATAAAGGAAAGAGTTTGTATTTAGATAAGCATATTGTTTGCTATATTAGGATCCATAAATAATTTCTTACTTGAGAGTTAATTATTAAGTGCATAGTTCTAGCAGTATACCAATCCTGTACAGACTTGTATAAGAAAATGCACTTTCCAAAGAGTTGCAAGATGTGCTAGAGGCCATATCTGCTTTCCAGGTACAAAGGTTCCATCTGAAGATTCCATGCATATTAAATTTCAGAGGTACATAACGTATATTCAGAAGAGACACAGATTATGTCTTCCTTTTGTCCAATGACGGAAGGTTTTAGTTGACATTATTTTACTAAAATGTTACAAAATGTAACTTCCCGCTTCAAAGGCATTGTAGCAATGCAGTTTAGGAAGGACATGAAGCAATATGCAATGATAATGTTAGTAATCTTACACCTTGTGACACGTAAAAGAATGCATTGCAAGTTTGAAACGCATAGCCTGCAAAGCTTCTGGTGTGCAAGATTACCTGTTACCTGTTCCTGGATTTCAACAGAGCAAATAATATCTGATGATTTCCACTGACAGCTAGATCCTGTGATGTAACCAGCAACTCAGCAAGTCTGTTTGAAGATGGAGGAGCTGTTTGAGTGAGGAAGGAAAATGAGGGAAAATGTCTGCTGGGAAACAAGAAACCTCTTTTCTAAGGGTGGAGGAAGAACATGCATAAACTTACTGGCTTCTGAAAATGAGAGCAGGAGAATTCCTTTCTGCCTTTATACTGTAATGCAAAGTAAATTCTGCCCATCCAGCAAAGTCGCACATTCCCCTCCTTGTCTGCAGGTTTTATATGCACACCTCCTTATAGTCCCAATGACACACAAGTTCCTCAGATACTCTCATATTCTCCTTCTTGCTTTGCATATTTCCCTTATTCACGGTATACATTTTTTTCCTTGCATATTGATGCAGTTCTTGTGAGATCCTAACTGTGCTATCTATGGTTTTGGTCAGTACTACAGGGATTTAGAGAAGGTGTAGTAGCAGAACAGATGGACTTTGGCAGTTATATTCCATATCTGGGGAGTCGTCTTAGTCCCCCATAGTTTACCCCTGAGAGTGCAAACCTGAGTCTGTCTTTCCCTTATGGCTACCTAACTTTCCTGTAGATCTTATTATTGGAGGCTACTGGGCTAAGTTTAAAATCTGGATTTAAAACAGTGTGGCTGCCTTGGATGTAGGATAACTTCAGATCAACTCTTCTCACCAGTTTTCTTTTGTTTCCTCTGTGTACTATAATACTTACAATTTATTGGTAATTGTTGAAATCAGTAAGACTTACTTTTTAAAAAATTACTCAAATTAAAGAGTTACAGAGATAAAGGTAGTTCTCCCCCCCCCGCCCCAATAAATGTATACAAATAAACATAAAGTACAGAATGATCCCTGCCTTGAAGATTGTCTAGCCTAGAGTAAAGCAAGAAACAGCACTGGAGTAAAAAACAGAGAATTCTTTCTTAGTCTTTCTCACTTCTGCTGCAGTAAATCCTCTTTTTTTTCTGAAAATACATTAGTCCCATGATCTGGTAATTGTTAGCACGCAGATTGGCAATGACAAACTTCCTTCCCCTCCCTTCCTAGTTAAACAGTCCCATCTAAGTAAGTGTTTTGGGGGCTAAAATAGGAAGTACAGACTTCCTATTTTACATGCAATTGCACAGACTTGCCTTGAAAGGGCGTGGTCTGCTTCTTTGAAAGTGGCGTTTGAGGTGCATAGAAGATATAGCAGTTATTTTGAAGACTTACTAGCCAAGAAAATCCTGTGGTTGGTCTTCTGTCTCCAGTTGTAGGGAAGTGTGGTTTTGCTGGTTACCGCATCAGAGGATTCTGATGCTGTGGGAGGAGGCTGGACAGGGAGACTGACCCGTCAGAGTGAATCATCTGCCTCACAGACAGGTCTGGATCCAGGTAAGGGAATTGCTTCCTCTCTGGGGAAAGCAAAATGGCAGAAAGTCTGGTCTCATATGAGGGCTTGTGAGTCATTAAGGGATTCCTTAGCTGTAGTGATTATTCAAGGGCTCAGCCAGCTGTTTCTGGTGTAAGGAGGTGGCATTCAGGAATCTGAAAGTCAATAGGAATTTAAAAGGAATTTTTTCCATGCTCCCCTAAAGTAGAAAAGAGTCTCAGCTCTGTAACATATTTGAGCTGGTGAGTTTATTATACTTTTGAGAGAGCAATGAGAGAGAGCCAAAAGGACTTGAATTCCGGTATTGAACAACGTGGTCCGTGGTCTCTGAACCACTCAATCTACTCTCAATCTCAACAATCACACACAAAAAAAAGATAAATAGTTTCTTCAGTATTGTTTCTACAATTTGCAACTTGTTTGGGGAGCAGCTGGAAAAGTAGCATGTTGAAGAGAAATCTGAAAGTGAATGAATATGGAAATTCAACCCCTACAGGTCTCAGAAGCTATGTTGTTGGGGATCATATTTTTAAGGAAAGGTAAAAAACAGAGCACCATTGTAGTTCATTAGGAAGGCTTTGAAGCATGAAGAGCAGAAGGATGAATGAATTTGAAGGCTGAGTTCTCTTCACAGACTAGGATTGTTTCTTGTTGCTACCCAGCTGAAAGAATCCCTTCACTTCCTCGGAAATGTGCATTTACTTCTTCATTCTTTGCTCATATTGCAAGCTCACACAATAAGAAAACATGGATTTTTGTCCTACAATAAATGCTTGGTAGAAGTTCTTTCTGAACGTCACTCCAACACTAAGCCTAAAGAAGTTCCCTAATTCAGTTTTACTTCTCTTTACATGAAATGAAAACAAGAAGCTCCACAATAAGCAGAGCACGAGAGTAGCCAGTGGGCAATGAAAACAATCATCTTCTGAATTAGGATCAAACCTGTGCACAAAGGACAGTATGATCATGAGAGAGATTTTCATCCTTTTGCTGAATCTGTATTTGGTCTTCAGTGCCCAAGCCATTCAAGGTGAGTTTTAAATGTATAGTCTCTTTTATCCTTCCATTATTTCCTTTCTTTTTGTATTTCTCTCCTTTCAGCTAATGTTCTTCCTCATTTTCTGCTTGCCTTTCTGCTTCCTTCTGCCACCATCTTCTATGCTGTAGGAGAACAGACATCTTGGTCAAAACCAGTGTGTAGCAGATGCATGTACAGACAGATCAGTTGTAGGCTGGTGGTATGGCAGGTGAAATACTGGACAAATGGATGAGATGAACAAGCTGACTTGTGAATAGTGAATAGGAATGAGGAATAGACCCTGATAGTGAAAACATGGGAAAATGAAGGGCTGCATGATTCAGATGGTAGCGTACAGGAGTAGAGACAAGTGGACAGACACAAGACGGGGGTGTGTGTGGGGGCTACCAACAGCAACATCCAGATGACCTGATTTTCTTCTTGTGGAATTGCTGACAGCTAAAGAGACCATCTGCCGTATTCATTGCTTGTGTTTCTGAGTTTAATGTCTTTCCTCTTCTGATGCAATGAGAGCTACTTTTCTTTTTCTTTCCTTCTTTCTTTCTTCCTTCCTTCCTCTCTCTCTCTTTCTTTCTTTCTTTCTCTCTCCCCTTTCCCTTCCCTTCCCTTCCCTTCCCTTCCCTTCCCTTCCCTTCCCTTCCCTT